AACAAGTGGCGCTCAATGGAGAATAGAACATACGTAATGCCATTAATCTACGTGGTGTTGCGTTTAAGCCCTGGCCACTGGCCACTGATATCATCCTGTGCCAACATAGTCCAAGACCAATCATATGCATGATAGGGCTCAAACAGGCTGACAAACCATTCTTTCCTCAATTGGGGTTCAAAAGCTATTTTCATACTAGAATTACTCTGCTCGTGATGAGAGCTCGGCTGCTAGTCAGCATGGGTTGACACGTCGATAAGAGCATCACGGCGAACCGGTCATTTGAACGTGTCGGATGGTTGTTGGTGCAATGTCGATCATGGACATCTCCCACCTTGGTGGCCTGCTCAGCATAGGCGCTTCAGCGCTGGCTCGCTGCTGCTGGCAGCAGAATCGCCTGCTGCTGCACGCCTTTTGCGCGGCCTCTTTGTTGCCGGGGTGGTGCCAGAAGCATCGGCAGCAATGGCCGTAGAACGACGGAACCGTTCAGGAATACTGCCTGAATCACAGAGTGACTAGAAAATGAGTCTGAAGTTTAGAACTGCTGCGAGGTCGCGGTTCAGGAGCCGAGACGAATAGGCCCGCCTGTATTGTGCCATGGCCCGCTTACATGACTCGCTTGTACAGCGGAGAAGGCCATGGCACTTCACAGTTGGGTTCTTCGATCTCTGGTAGGGCCGCGGATTGGGAACATGCCGGAATGTCTGCAGTGACTTATCGCAGCAGAACGGGCACACCGACGATGTCCGGAATTCGTCAATCAGATAGACTTCAAAGCCATGGTGCTTGAAATTGTCTCGCCATCCCTTGCCACGAATCGGCGCATGGTGTCGGGCCATCGGCGCACTCCAATTGCCCATGATCAGCACTGGGTCTGGACCGAACTTGCTCCGGAGTTTTGCGGCAAGCCTGTGGTCTGCACGGGCCTGGTTCATGAATGAATCAAGGCGCAGCTTGCGGTGAAGCGGGTACACCTTAGGACTGGTCCCGACACCCGGATGGGCCTTCCAGCGCCTCTGGTGCTACTTGTTTGACTTAGTGAGCTGCTGCTCTGGTAACCTTCGCGCTATCATCGTGTTGGCATAAAACGGTGCTAGGACACACCGCACAGATGCACGGGCAGCAACGTAGGCACGGAATTTTGCTGGGCTAAGGGTCCGGCAGCAGTGCTTGGAAAGCTCTGCCTCTGCTCTGCGGACAGCATCTTCTGGGACTTGATCCTTTGTACCCCGACAAATCCTGTCATAGTGGCGCAGCTTGAGCTCCTTATTGCGCTGCTGCCGTGTGTAGCGGTAGAGCATTTTTCACCCTCTTTCCCATTGCTGCTATTTTCGTGCATCATATACAGTAAATCGTCCCGACCTGGATCGATGAATACACAGCGGCCTTTCAGATTCTGCAGCTCTGGCTGTGGGATCTGGTGGATATAACGACAGTCAGCTATAGTATTGCCTCCCACAGCATCAGCATCTACTGCAGCATCAGCCTTGGATATCTTGTCTTGCAACAAAATGCATATCGCTACACCATCTGTTGTCACCATTCCATGGAATTCTCTATCACCATGTGCCTTAAATGGCTTTGATGTTAGATCTGCGACCCGGCCCCACACATCCCACACAGATTATGTGATCCCTTGGACCAGGTCATGTGCACAGACTGGGGGTGCTGGTGCATATGCATTGTTAAGTGCTGCAACAGTGTCTGCTGCTGCCGCCGATGCAGCAGCAAGCGAATCAGCCGCTACTGCTGCAGTTGCTGCAGTGGCCTCTGTTTCATCTGATGGCATCTTCGCTGCTTCGCGTGCAGCCTTCTTGGCCAATTTTTCGCCCTTTTCTGCTACTTTCCTTGCCTCTGTTGCTGCCCTCTTTGCTGCGTTGATCTCTGTAACCTGCTCGCGTGTTTTCGAAATAAACACCTGCTTGATTATTTGCTTGTCTAAGCGCACATGGCCTGGGATCCATGATGTCCGCAGAGGCAAGCATTGGGGGGGAGACTTGCCAAGCTGCTCATTCTCGATAAGCTGGCATAGGCGAATGTATGCACGCAGATGCTGAAGTGGATTTACCTTGGCATCATAGTATCGGCTGTCTTTGGCGAATCTGTGCTTGGCATCATAGGCATTAAGGACTGGTGCCAGCTTGTTGTAGATTGCAAGCATCGGTGGGGTGAGCACACTGAGATCAGGGTGCCTAGAGGCAACTGTCTGGCGGAGCTTCTGTGCAGGTGTATAAATACACACTTGACATGCATTATTGAACTCAGCCTTGGACACATTGCCCATTGTACTGTGCAGTGTGTTTTTGCGGCTGCGAATATCAATCAATTTGGCCAGAATCCGCTGTAGGCAAGTGCCATAGTGCAACACAATGTTGTTCTTGTATGCTGTCATCAGCTCGGTATCCACGTATGTTGCTACTTGATTCATGTTGTGTACATCATGTAGCTCGATATCGCCATTATGTAATAGATAATCATAAATATGGTATACAACTACATCACCGAAATCTGCGCTCGACAGTTCTGACCTGTCCTTCCGGTTGACGAAACCCTCAGCAGATATGGTCATATTTGCCTTCAGATTGTAGTAAATGAGCAAGTAAACAGAACGAAAAAATACCCCCTTTTTCACAAATGTTGCAGGGTCAAAGGCATCATCGTAAGCTAGCTGATGGAGTAATATCCATCGTGCAAGCATGTATGTATGCTCTTTGATAATATTGACGCTGTGTACAGATTGCTCTAGGCGGGGCAACATAGAATCACGGAAGCCAATACCACCAAGTGATGTCTTTATGACAGTAGTGCTGCGGGTAATATTCATTTGAGAAATTCAATAGGCAAAGAAGAGAAATGATGCCGTTCAGTTTTGCTTTATTGCGTATGCATAGCATTAAGAACTTTTTATTAAAAATTAACTGGATTGCATCGTTCGTAGGCTAATTTGAGAGACTGTACCAATGCTGATGGCTCTATACAGACTGTATCCATTGTGGGCTAAATGCTACTGCTTACGCATATTCATAAGACAAATTAATTTATATAATAAATCCACAAATATTGCATGACGGCTAGAAGAGCTATATGGCCTTATTCAATAGGTGCTCATGAATGAATATCCTAAGGGTGTTGCGCAGCCGGTGATGACCACCATGATGACGCCATGGAAGTTATCAGGCCGACCGACAATGAGAGCAGCTCTTGCGCTGAACCAATGGAGATATATAGTGGAGACCTGTGACCACTACAATAACAGCTTATTACCCTGGGTTCACTGATAAGGTCAGATATTGCACAGCAGCAACATCTTCAAAATGGCCAGTGTGTGGCAATATCTGACCTCATCATTGAACCCAGGGTAATAAGCTGTTATTATAGTAGTCATTGGCCTCTACTAGATATCTCTATTAGTTCAACGTGAGAGCTGCTCTCATTGTTGGTTGGCCTAATAACTTCCATAGCATCATCATGGTGGTAATCGCTGGCCGCGCAACACTGTTGACATCATATGATGGCCAGGAGTAGTTGAGCTGACATTCATCTGACAGCAAAGCGAATGATCCTCTTAATATCCTTGAAAACTGACACATCATCTATATAAAAAACCTGTCCTATCACATGCTGCCACATCCACATCTCACTTGTACTAGCATACAAACACGTGGCAGGATATATATGGACGAGTAGGCAACCATGTCCTCATTTATTCGATATTTTTATTTGCCGGCACTACAAAGAAAAGTTCTACTTGGGCCCAAGGTGCTTATTACCTTAGACTGGAGGAGTTGGAGTCACTGGTGCAGACGATGTCGGCCCATATCCAGTTGGCGTGGGCTTAGAAATATCGTAGTCACTGCTTGATCTATCGCTATAGTATCCTGGTGAATACCGCGAGTACCAAGCCGGGGGTTGGTTGTCCTCGAATGCAGTAAACGGTGCTCGGAAGATTCCATCTGGATATTGGCTTGCGTACTCGACTGTCTTAGTATACTGGCTAATGCTGTCGCTATAGTCTGCCTGGTAAGCACCGCTGCATGCAATTTGCGCATAATGAGGCGTGTAGGTTTCCGTGACGGCTATCCAGGAGCGCGTATCCGATTCCCCATCGTTGCTATGATATCCACTGCCCATATAATAGGAGCCGGAGGTGTAACCTTCAGGGACGAAATATGTATAAGTATATGGCTCAGGTGTATACTGTGCACACGCGCCATCCACATTGACGTTGTAGCGGGCAGGTCCAACGTCGCTCTTGGTCTTGACAACCTCAAAGTTGAGCTTGTAGTGGGCATCTTCCAGGATTCCAAATGGATAGTTCATCATGTTGAACACGTTGGGATCAACTCCAGACGATAGCGACATTTCGTTGTCATTCTCCACGATATCGACAAGTTCACCAAGTTCGCCGACAATAGCTACATCACTAATGGCAGCATGTGCGCTCTCTTGAGCGTGCGTTTGGATGACCACTGCGGCGAGAAGAGCAGAGACGAGTCCTAGCTTGAGCATTGTTTGCATGGGGTTGGCGGGTAATTGAAGTGGATGATGGGCTAAGAACCGCACCGCAAGCCCAGCCATTTTATAGTCTGTACGAATGGCTTGGCGCAAGGAGTGCCCCTGGTCCTGGTGGCATCATACTGGGAGACTGGTAGGGACAGGTTGTTGGCAACGCAGCACAGAACATTCGGTTGACAGCAAAACGGAAACGACCTGCTGATTTCTTCCAAAATGGGACCCTCGCTCCGTATCACAAACCAGTTTGGGATACCAGCTCATGCGAATTTCCGCAGGTCACTGTCAGCACATGTGCAGCGGATGTCGGTATCTATTTAACTAGCTGAATGGGGACTGCTGGCTGAGCTTGTGGCTATCGGTCTTGGCAGCGCGCGCTGTCGGAACTAGGTTGGAATTCTAGAAGCCATTTGCCCAGAGCAAATGTGAGCACATCCAAGCTGAGAATATTCCAATGCCACATGCACACATTTCACACACCGACCATGTGTGCTTAGCGATGTTCTTGGGATTTTTACAGAAGGATAAAAGATAATGTTCAGGCTGTGCCGCCAGACTCAGTCATAGTCAGTGTCTGCATCGTCAACCACGTTGCCGCCACGGAAGTTGTCAGCAGCGACAGCGAAATCTTCGCTGCCATTGCCATTGACATCATCGTTGCTATCGTCGCTGGCATGGGCAATAGTTGCCTCTCCCTCTGCTGCTGCCGCAAGGGTTGAGAAGAACTGACCAACATCAACCTCATCAAAGTCGACGTCGCTGTCAATATCGTCCAAGGCATCCGTTGCTGAAGCGCCTAGCTCGTAGTCAAGAGAGCCAAGGAAGCCATTCTCGCCGAGTGCCAGCAGCGGCTCCAAGAGTAGCTCATCGGGATACTTGCTTGCATATGCGTCAGAGCTCTCATACTGGCTGTTGCTGTCGCTGTACTCGGCCTTGTACATGCCACTGCATCCAACCTGCGGGAAGCGTGGGGTGAATACTGTGGTGAATACTTGCGCTGAGTACGAGTCCAGATCGCCACGATCACTATCGTAGCCATCATTGCTGCCATCATTGCCGCCATCATTATCGCGGTCATCGTCGCCAGCATCGTCACTCCTTGCCATCCAGTACGGCTCGGAGAACTCATAGCGAGTGTAGGTAATAGTGCGTGGCTCAGGCGTGTACTGAGCACACGCTCCACCGACCTCGATGCCGTAGTTTACAGCTCCGCCGTCGCTCTTGGTTTTGGCAAGATCCAGCTTAAAGTTGTATGAGGCGTCTGCCATAAATCCCCAAGGGTAGAAGATAGGCGGATACGAGTACACGGCAGTGGGTGACTCGTCGGTGCCGATATCGCCGAGCTCAGTCGAGGATGACAACTCGACACCGATGTCACTAGGCTCGGTAGAAGTAGGGAAGCTGCTGTCAGCACTGGCACGAGCCTGCAGAGCAAGCACAGCGAGCAGACTAGAAGCAAGTGGCAGCTGAACCATGGTGAAAAAGTGCTAAAAGTGGTTAAAGAAACGAATCAAGAAGAAAAGCCAAATAGCTAAAGTATCCGGAGCAACGGCTGGTGTTGCGTTTGCGTATGGCAGCACAGGCATAAGGATATTTATACTAGTGACAGCTAATGCCGGCAGCCCTCCGGTTGCATGCGTCATGCACTACGCAATAGCTACCAAAGATTGTCAGCTGCCGCCAAGAACTCGGCTGCGGGAATACAAAGTCCGCCTCGTATCTTCGCTGCCCGAGCAGCAATTTCCGCCTCTGTCTACGGAACTCGCGGGCTGTCTGGCAGCGCTTGCGGACAAGGCATGTAGTCGTTTAAAGCAGTATACGAAACATCAATGAGGGGAATCGGATTCACGCTCTGATACGTCGCTGTAGTAGCACGCTGGCTTGCACTGTCACTGTACTTGGCATTGTAGATACCACTGCATGTGTCGGCAGAATATGTAGGCGTGAACGTTGTCACGACATACCGACCCAAGGAAGCTGTAGTTGTGTAGTCAATGGCTCCAGGGTAATCGGAGAAGTATGTGTAGGGATAGGGATCGGGAAGGTACCGGGAACAGTCTCAGCCTATCTCAACCGCAGCACAGATACCAGCTCACTGCTATACCAGGATCGAAGGTGAGAGTGATGTTTGGTGGTCTGCATCAGGTAGGGATGATGTCTGTCGCTAGCAGATTCCACGGGCTTCTTTCAACAGTTGCAATAATGAGCAGACGACCCTGTCAGCCTCGTTAGCAGTGCTGGTTGGGCTGTAGACAATAGCAGGAGTGATGGTAATGCGTCCAGGCAGCTTCCGTGCCAACATTTAACGAGATTCGCATTTTGAAATCACACAAAATCAAAAAGTGAACCAGCTATATCGAAGAGCTGGTGAACTGGACATGGCCAAACCCAGACTTGCCAACCTAGTTGCCGCTGTCCGTATCATTGCCTGCGTTATTGCCGTCGCTGACATGACCCCCACTGACATAAATGTCCCTGACATCGCCCTGGTGCTCAATATTGCCATCTTCATCGTCTGTAACGTTGCTGTGACCACTGTTGTCCTTGGTATTCCCTTTGGGATGCGGGCAACGGTGGATAGCGGCAGGAGCTACTAGGACTGGCTCAGGCTGAGTTGATAGGGCGGGTTTTGCATCATAATCATCGCTGCCATTGGCATGGTCATCGTCGTTTCCGGTGATGTTCCCATCGTCATCACGACGGATAATGCCATACCTGGCCAAGAGAACGTGCTTCACACCATTTGGCAGATGACCAAAGACATCGGCGTTGAATCCCCAGGGGTGAGCGACTGGCGGACGAGAGAAGATTGTAGCAGATGCATCGGCGTCAGTGCTACCAAGTGGAGCGGCGTTGGCGGATGTATTCAGGGCAACCACGGCAAGCACAGCAGAGACGAAGTAAACCTTGACCATATTAGGTGGTAGCTAGTTGAAGGTGCTGGTAGGCAGAACTGGAGAGGTGGTAGAGAACAGCAGAGAATATTGGAGCGGCTGTGCCCAGATTAGGATTGTGTATGTTGGTAGATTCTGTAGAAATGGACGGCTGGTGTCGAGAGATTTATATACGTCTGGACCACTGCAGGCAGAACTTAATGGCAACATCAACTGGCAGCATCTACTGGCAGCCTTTCCTCATAGTTCATGCAATATGTGGTGTCAGATAAATGTAGGCAGCTGGCATGCACCGACGTTCCATGATAATATGCCAAGACACCGTCTGCTGCAGTCAGTGCGCATGGTGGCAGGTCCTTCTGCCCTCTATCCACTGAGGTGTGGAGCAGGCTTGGTGAGCCGCTGTGAGGAACACCGGTGAGGGGCATCAGGAATGTTCGGAGCAAGAATAGGCACTGGGGAACCAAAAATACCGCGCATCGCAGTGGATTGAGAAAACTCCATTAGGCAAAAATAATTAGCAGCAAATGTGTCTCCGCGTCTGTTCTGAGGCAGAAATGTGTGTAGGATTGGTTGAGGCATTTACGCCGACAGCTTCGCGGCAATATTCGCAAAGGTCTCGCCCTGTGCAACGGCTGCTGCCAAGTCGTACTCGGTGGGCTGGCGTGCGCCGTCGCTGCCAGCAACCGTGCCTGCGCCCCACGGCGATCCGCCTGCGACTTGGTCGACACCCGGGTTGCCAGCGCTGGTGGAGAGCGCGGGGACAAAGACCATTCCGTGGTGGGCGAGAACGGGAAGGAACGAGAACGCAGTGGTTTCCTGGCCGCCGTGCTGAGAGGCTGTTGAGAAGAAAATTCCTGCGGGCTTGCCGCTGAGCGCGCCCTTGACCCACAGCGAGCCTGTGGAGTCAAAGAACGCCTTGACCTGGGCAGGAGCAGATCCGAAGCGGGTTGGGAATCCGAACAGGAAGCCATCGGCCTCGGCTAGCTTGTCAACGGTGATGACGGGGATGTCGGGCTTGGGTGGAGCATACATGCTCTGGAGGACGCTCTCGGACAGGGTCTCTGGGAACTGATATACCTCGACATCGACCAGTGCAGACTTTTCCAGTCCTTCCTTGATTGACTTGGAAATGGTGTGGACATGTCCGTAGGTGGAGTAGAAGACGACAAAGACCTTGGGGCGGGCCATGATATACTATGCGAGGCAGTACTGTGGTAAGTGTAGGTTGCGATTATATGGTTGCTGGTAGTGTTGTGTGTGGCTGGCGGGGATATGCGGCAGGCCGTTCTCAATTTATACAGAGCAACTATCGTGAGACTGGGAGGGAGGCTTACAAATATGCCAGCGGCTCGGATTACGAATTGTGTTTACTGATACTGGATGACAAAAGTACAGCGATGCAGGCGGTGGAGCGGTAGATTGCAGAGCCGGTGTGTCCATAGCAAAGCGTGAAGGGATCAGATCTGGACCATGGGCATTAGGCGGCAATTCACATCGCTGTCACGCTTCTCTCGCTCATGAAATGTACAGACTGGTATCGTAGCCTACAGATCAGTACCTGGCTCTGAGTGGGTGTATTCGCCCTAGGCAGGGTTTCTCGTTCGGATTCCTGTCGGCGTTTTGATTTCCATGACATGGTAGGTATGATTACAAATCGGCTATTGGCAATACGATGTCTGGAACCAGGCAATCATGTGCGGAATCTGAGCAGCAAGCAGGAGAGAGATCTGTGCTAATAGCTGCTGATTTCCTGCTGACTACACTGTGTGCCGCCTATTTCTGAGAGACCCAAAGTACTGGACTCGGGTGTCCTGCGGTTTCTGTGGACAGTCCATTGCACAAAAAGAATCTTCAAAGAGCAGATAAGCTTATTCTGCGCAGCCGTTCAGCGAGAGTTCACTTGGGTTGTTCGACGTTCTCTGCAATCGACTGGTGGATCCGCAAAACCTCGCCCGGTGCCGATATCTCCCTGTCGAGGAACGATGCCGTGTGCATCTCGCTCATAACGCTCTTCATCTGATCCACCTGGCTCGAGCCGATCGAGAAGCCCAGCTCGTCGAGCTCTGCCAGCAACGCACCAAGCTCGCCCACATTTGGAACAGTGCTTTCAGACTGGTGGCCGGCAGACTCCGACATGGCTTGACTATCAAGGCGGGCAATGCTGGTTGGATGTACTTGGCGGTATGCTGAGGCAACCTCGTGCAGGTAGCCGAGGACCACCAAGGGCAGGGCAGAGTTGACAAACTCTTGCTGCTGCTGCTCGACCTTCCCTGGCCTTGTCGAGATAAGCGAGGCGGACCCGACCGATCCCAACGATAGTGCCAATGCTACGAGTAGATTAATCTTCATTGCTGTGTGATATATATCCGGAGCGTGGAGGCAGGTGCAAGCAGGCTGCTGCAGTCAGAGTTTGGCATGGTGTAGCGGCATTGGCAGACAGCTAGCGGTGTTTACTGTGTCGCACTCTGGATGCATGGAACGCTGGCAGTAACAGGTCATCAGCTAATGTATTTCAAAAGTACTGTAATTAAAATACATTGCAGGTATCCACAAGGAACACGCCTATGTATGCAGCAGATGGGTAAACATGGTCACAGCAATTGCACGATTCATCGGCCAAGGTCACTTGTCATTCCACAGGAAACGTGGCTGATGCGACTGGAGCGGCATATTGTATACGTGGGACTGGGATCCGCCGACAATGTAGCGTGGAGACGGGTGGTGGGAGGGTTTAGGGAGGGACGGGATTGGCAAGCGGTTGAGCAAACAATTGGGAACACCGCATGATACCAGCAGTGGTTGGGTGGGAATTTGTTATCTTCCGTCACCAGCAAATTTCCTCGTTTCGGGCCGCGCGCGAGTTTTAAAAGCCAGTCTGGGCTCGGCTGGATCGGAGTCTCTAACCTCTCCCAAACTAAAATTTTTTCCTCAGCTAGTATTTTACCAAAGACACAGAAAGGATGGCAGACAAGATCATATTCCGGGACCTGGAGGTGCGCACGGTGCTGGGGCACGACTCGTGGGAGCGCACAAAGAAACAGCCGGTCCTCATTACGGCTGAAATTCACACGTCGATTGCGTCTGCGGGCCGCACAGACAAGGTCACGGAGAGCGTGCACTACGGCAACGCATGCAAGCAGGTCACGGCGTTTGCCGAGGGAGCCCACAGGCTGCAGTCGCTGGAGGCGCTTGCCGATGGCATCGTGCGGACGTGCCTGGGGGTGACGGAGCGGGCGCTGGCAGTGCACGTGACAGTGAACAAGCCGCGGGCCCTCCTGCACGCCAAGCACGCAGGCGTCGAGGTGTTCCGCACGCGCAAGGAGATGCTGGGCAGCTGGGGCAGCGAGCCGGTGCAGGCGGCGGACGAGAGCGACCAGGAGTTTGGGCAGCGCGTGGCCCGCGTGGGGGCCGAGCGCCTGGCGGCCGAGCAGGCGGCAGGGGCGCTGGCGCAGGAGGACCGGATTGCAGTGCGGCGGCTGCAGCTGAGCACGATCATCGGCGTGAATCTGTGGGAGCGGCACGCCAAGCAGGTGGTGGATCTGGACCTGACCATGCACTACCGCAAGGCGGCTGAGGTGCGGGATGCGGTGCCGGCGTACCGCAACTTCCGCACGGTGGTGGATGCGATCACGGAGCTGGTGGAGAAGAGCTCGTTCCGCACCGTCGAGGCGCTGGCGACGGCGGTGGCACGCGCTGGGGTCAAGGAGTGCCACGTGCCGCGCATCACCGTGCGCGTCGAGAAGCCCAGCGCGCTGGTCTTTGCTGCCTGCTCGGCAGTCGAGATCACCCGCGCCAGCTCGGACTTTGCGGCTGCCAGCGAGCCGCGGGCTCCTGGCGACATGCACTGCGCGTACATTGCGCTGGGCACGAATGTCGGCGACCGCCTGGCGAACCTGCACAAGGCATTGCTGCACCTGGCGGCTCTGCCCGAGTCGCGGCTGGTGGAAACTAGCTTTCTGTACGAGACCGCGCCCATGTATGTGGCCGACCAGCCGGCGTTCCTGAATGCAGCATGCCGGCTCACGACCCGGCTCGAGCCGCTGGCGCTGCTGGACGAGCTCAAGCGCATCGAGGCCGAGATGGGCCGCGACTTCAGCGTGATCCGCAACGGACCGCGCGTGATCGACCTGGACATTCTGTTCTACGACGAGCTAGTGATGCGCACTGAGCGGCTCACGCTTCCGCATGCACTGGTGCATGAGCGGCGGTTCCAGCTCGGCCCACTGTGCGATCTGGACCGCAGCATCATGCATCAGCAGCTCGGCAGATCGGCCGGGGCACTGTTCCGCCATCTGACCACCCACAGCAATGCCCCAAACGACATCGTGCAGGTCACGCCATTGCAGCCGCACTCAGGGCTCCTGCAATCGCTGGTGCCGGCCACGCAGAAGCACACGCTGTCCATGGGTATCGTCAACTGCACTCCCGACAGTTTCAGCGACGGCGGCGACTTCCTTGCCTGCGACAGTGCCGTCCAGCACGCGAAGCGCCTGGTGGAGGCCGGCGCCGACATTCTTGATATCGGCGGCCAGTCGACGCGGCCCGGAGCTGTGCCCGTCGGCGTTGCCGAAGAGATTGCGCGCGTGGTGCCGGTGGTGCGTGCGCTGCGCGAGCAGCAGGTCGGCGTTCCTATCTCCGTCGATACGTTCTATGCCGACGTGGCCCGTGCAGCGTTGGACGCGGGCGCTGATATAATCAATGACGTCACCGGCGGCTCGCACGACCCCGAGATGCTGCCGCTGGTGGCCAAGCGCCAGTGCCCGTACGTGCTGATGCATATGCGCGGCTCGCCGTCAACCATGACGCAGCTCAACGACTATGCGCAGTTCGACGGCGATGTGGTGCGCGGCACGCGATTCGAACTGGCGCAGCGCGTGCGCCAGGCATTGGACTGCGGCGTGGCGCGCTGGAACATTATCCTGGATCCGGGCATTGGCTTTGCCAAGGAGGGCAGCCAGAACTTTGATGTGCTGCGGCGGTTGCCCGAGCTCACCAAGCGCCATATTCGTGCGCCCGTGTCCGACCGCTCCGGCAAGCCCGACTCGGCTGACTCTCACGAGGGCTTCATTGAAGAGGATCTGCCGGTGGAGCTCGTTGGCTTCCCGGTGCTGGTCGGCAGCTCCCGCAAGCGCTTCATTGGCATGGCCACCGGCAAGGAGAACGCCAAGGACCGCGTCTGGGGCACTGCCGCAACCGTCTCTGCTGCTGTCCAGGGCGGTGCCGCCATTGTGCGCGTGCATGACGTGGCCGAGATGGTCGACGTTGCGCGCGTGTCCGACCACATCTACCGCACTCAGCAAGACCGCTAGCTGGGAATAACCCGCACCACACTCAGCAGCGCTATGATCATGGTCCTTTTTATGAAACTGAAGATGGAATAAAAAAACTAACCCTTGGTGACTTCATTTGCCACCTTTCACTCGTTGCTAAACAGACTCAGCAGGCACAGCGTCCCCAGCAGCCCCATCTTCAGCTGCGGATAGTCGTTCATCCAAATCGTGCCCATGCCCGCGTACGGCACGAATCCCTTGACGCGCCCGACGATCTCATCGCGCTGGATCCACAGTTGCCCCGGGTTATACAGTCCCCGGTCGTCCACCGGGTTATTGTCGCCCTTGGTTAGCAAAAACTGCTTTCCGTTCTCCCTCTCTGTGTGCACCTTCATCACCCGGTGCACAATCGGAATGTCCTTGCCCTCCAGCTTATACACCACCACCTCGCCAACCTCGATCGCCGAATGTCCGTTGTCCAGGAACAGAATGTCTCCGCGGTAGTACGCTGGCTCCATGCTGCCCGACAGTACCACTACCACTGGGCTCTCGCTGTTTGTGAACAGCGACATGCCCTTCCAGATCATGAATGCCGATGTGAGCACGCTGAGGAACGTCAGGCCCTGGAGAAGCAGCTACAGGAGTGGGAAGCAAATTTGTGCCAGGTTTAGTGCTGCCGCTGTGCCGGGCTCTTGCTTTCTTTTTCGGTCAATTGCCCCTTCTTCCCGCCGCACTTACCGACCGAACCCCCATTTTCTTCGCCTGCGTTACAAAGTCCATTTCTCTTAACAACAATGCGCAAATGAACTAAAAGAATATAATAAACCGTCGAATGTAGAGCTGAAATGAAGACAGGACTGCCGTCTGACGCCTGCTCGCCTGCTGAAAAGCAAAATGGCAAGGATGATCACACGTCAACATCCCCCATTGGTTGCCCCTCCCCAGCCCACAAGCGCGCTCCAACCACGAATTAATTTCCAGCACCAAACGCCAACACCAGGATTTCTCAGACAACAGCTTCTTTCAGTTCATATTTTTTTTTTTTGAATGGTAATGTATGTGCCACTGCGACAGTTCCACACGCCCGTACGCCCCACTTCGCCCACCCGAAGCCCGTCCGCCAGCGCTCTGCGCGCCCGCACTTCGCCCGACCTGCCCTCAGTATCCTCAGCGTCCTCTGTGCGCCACGAGAACGACGCCAGCTACGCTGATCCCTGGCCGTCGTCGCCGTCGTCGCTGGCAGGCGACCAGCTGGTCGCAAAGACGCCGACCTTCGAGTACTATGGATTTGTCGTTTACATGGTCTCGCTAGCCATATTCGGCACCTATCTGGTGTGGGCATACCTGCCAGATCACATACTGTGTGCCCTCGGCTTCACGTACTACCCGGACAGATACTGGGCCATGGCCCTGCCTGCATGGCTGTTCATGGCCGTCCTGTCCATATACTTTTTCAACATGGCATATATCATGTATGCTACCCCTCTACTGAACTCTCCTGACACCTTCTATGATCCAGACTCAAATGTCGCGCCGGCGGAGTCCCCCGACGACCACCTGTGCTGCGAGGTCGGCGGCATCCCGAACATTGCCGATATCCCGATCTCCGTCGTCAACAAATGCCTGTACAGCTAGCTGCTATCGTGTATATTTCTTCATTTATTGCTCCCCTCCTCCATCTAAAAGTCTGACACTCGTCCGTTGCGCTCCCAGTCACCGAACCGCGTCGGCTCCGGCCCCCGCGGCCCATTGACCTCTCCCGTCACCGGGTTTGTGTTATTTGGGAACGGCTTCAGCGGGTCGTTCGCATCGCGTACCGGCTCGTAGAACTTTTCTAGCTCCTCACTCGTCAGCCCGGCCGGCGGTGTGTCCGCCCTGTTTGCCTCTTCGATCAGCGCTGCCATACGCTTCTGCTCTGCTGTGTCTCCCAGTGGCAGCGGTCCAGGCGCTTCCGCAAACGGCGACCCCTTGTCACCGCTACTCCGCTGTACCGCGCCGAACCTGCTGAAATGCCGCGTGCTGGCTCGCATTACCATGCGGCGCGCGAAAATATTTGCCTGCATTTTCCTTAGCATAAGAATTTCGGTGAGAAACCAACAAGGAAAAAGAACAAACGTAACCAGCAGCTATCTCTGAGTTTTCGGTCTTTTGTTGCCGCTGGCCGGTGCCACTGGCCAGCCATTATCTAGCTCGTACGGATATGCGCTGTCCACCACTGCGATCGCATCCCTCATTGAAAAGACTCTCGTTCGGGTTGGCGTGCTCTGGTCGGTCACTGGATGCACCAGCGTGAGGCTGTTTACGCTGTGTCCATGGCCTCCACACATGCCAGTCTGCTGTGCCTGAGCCATGGGCGCCATCTGCGGTGGGAGTTCCACGCCCATAGGCAGCTGCAGGTTTGGTGCTGCCAGAATGCCCTCGTTGTTCAGCAACATTGGCATTGGCTGCGCTTGACCCATTTCAAACGGCAGCGGTGGAAGCAGCGGCATTGTCGCCCTATTGCTTGACTTGGATGCAGCAGCTGACAGGGTCTCAACACTCGCCTGCAGGTCCTTGACCATTCCCTTGACCTCGGCAAGGCCAGTGACTAGCGACAACGATTCCGTCTGCCATCTGCGGGCTGTGCTATCGAGTGATGCCATTGCATCATTCACCTTTCGTTCAATTGCTGCCCCCACCTGCACCGACATCTTGTCAAGAAGTCGCGATTCCAGTGATTGCACTACATAACAAATCCACATAAATGCGCTTGTGCTTAGTGCATTCGTCAGATCAGCAGCACCCTGAGGCTGCACATCTGTCTGCCATGCTTACCGGTGCTGCTGAGCTTAAGCTCAATATCTGCGACCGATGGCCTCGACATGTCTCTGTCAAACACCACGGAACGCTCAACTTTCTTCAGATCGGAGTGCAGGTCGCTGACACTGAGATTGACCTTGCTGGTCTTTTCATGCAGCGATGTTGAACGAGGACGCCATTTCCTGCCCTAGTCGATCCAGTGAGCGCTTCAGTGCCTTGTGGTCCTGGTGCAGCCGCCGCACTTTCCTCACCTGCTGATGATCCTGTATGCTGTGAACTAGCTGGTGGTCGCATTGCCATCACTGGCTGGCTGTCAAACTACACGATACAAACATCTGCTAATAGCATTACCAGCATCCATACTTTGGCAGGTCCGACGTATCACTCATCATGCCCCTTACCACTGTCTCATTCTGCGAGTTGTCGTTCGAATGGAGCACCGACATCTGCGTGCCGCTGAGCGAGCTATCCATCGAGTACCCGTCAAGGAATGACTTCTGTGCGGACATGTTGATTATGAAAAGAACGTTCAACCAGCATATCCCGAAGCAGAAAGAGGGCAAATGCTGCGCTGTATATCCAGCGTGCAATGACCCGCCCCAGCATATAGCGATGCCAATATCCCAAGCCTGTTTGATCTTTTTTACTAAACCTCAAGCTTGTTTGATTCTGGAACTTTGTCTGATGGATCTAGGAATCACGCGCGATCAAATATTTTTGCAGCGTTTTTTTTATTGGCACAGCACGCCATTCGACACTTTTTTCTTTTTCGTCTCTCAATTCAACCTTGCTGTTCATTCGCTTGCTCTTTTATCCACAGACCCCTCTTTTCCTCTATTTTAAAAGGTAACGCATGCCCAGACTGTAGTAGTCGGCCTAGCCTGCCGGATAAACGCTGGACAGATCACAGGAGGAGAAGGACGAGTTGGACACAGATCGACAGTGATAAACCGCTGGCTTAGACACGCTCACACTGTTTGATTGCATAGTGCACACGGTACACGGCCTAGCACTGGTGTCAAAACCCGCCATGTAAACGCATGCGACTAACGCAATGCCAGCAATGCTCCCGGCACTTTCTCTTTTGTATATGTAGCCGAAACGCAGTTTTTCGCCAGCAAAATTTACCATGCATCTTATGTACACTCTGGACGCCGAGGGCAAGCGTGTTTACACCTGAAGGTAAGGAGAACCCTATGACCCTGCTTGGATGCCTCAGCGGCAAACGGTTTCCTGGTTTTGGTGTTTTACAAGATCGACAGTTTGTTGCTCAATCCTCGATATGCATGTCCCTTTTATTGTAGAAGGTCACCGATGCCGGTGAGGTAACAAAGTCCGCGCACCCGGCGCGGTTCTCGCCCGACGACAAGTACTCGCGGCATCGCGTTACTCTGAAGAAGCGGTTCGGCCAGCTGCCGACCCAGCAGCCTGAGATCAAGGTGTAAAATGTGCTTTTTGAGAATACGAATAGACCCGTCCGACGGAGTTTTATTTTATTTTTTGGTTTCTGAGAATCGAGAAAAGAAGAAAGAGAAAAAGTACATTTTGTGTTTAGTTGCAGTCAAGGCAGACCGTCTGGATGTCGTAGTTGGTGTAGTCCGACATTGAGCACGACTGGCAGAACTTGCCGCCACAGCAGCAGCATGGCTGGATACAGCTTGGGCAGACCGCGCGCATGCATCTCCGGCACCCACTGGACTGAAGGTTGGCACTGGCCATGAATAGCTTTGTGCACGATGTGCACTGCGCCATGTTGATGGACATGGGCCCGTATTGCTGCTGTTGCTGCTGCTGCTGTTGTTGTTGCTGCTGCTGCTGCTGCTGCTGCTGCTGTTGTTGTTGCTGCTGCTGCTGCTGCTGCTGTTGTTGTTGTTGCTGCTGCTGCTGCTGCT